AGGAACAGACACCATATTCTCTGATATGCACCTCTAATTCTCTCTGTAAATAGTTGTAAGCCTGTTAATAGTTGTTTTGGTCTCAAAATCAGCATATTTCACAATGATCATTTATGATTGCAGCATTTCACTCTATTAATTTTTATTCGTATTTATTTTTTATTTGTTCTAATTAGTTATACATGACCATAAAATGCACTTTTATACATCATACATAGATGGTGTGTAATTTCTCATTCTTCCAGTTGTACATGATGTAGAATCCCACCAGTCATGTAGTTACATATGCACATAGGGCAATGATGGCTGATTCATTTTACTATCCTCCTTACCTCCATCCCCTCTCCCCTCCCGCTCTACCTAAAGTAACTCTACTCTTCCCTTGGCCATCCCCCTTATTGTGAATTAGCATCTGCATATCACAGAAAACATTCAGCCTTTGTTTTTTTGGATTGGCTTATTTTACTTAGCATGATATTCTCCAGCTCCATCCATTTAGCAGCAAATGCCATCATTTCATTCTTTAAGGTTGAGTAATAGTCCATTTTATATATATATATATATTTTTTTCTTTATCCATTCATCTGTTGAAGGGCACCTAGATTGGTTCCATAGTTTAACTAATGTGAATTGAGCTGCTATAAACATTGACGTGGCTGCATCACTACAGTGTGCTGATTTTAAGTCCTTTAGGAATAAACCGAGGAGCAGGATAGCTGGTTTAATAGTGGTTCCATTCCAAGTTTTCTGAGGAATCTCCGTACTGCTTTCCATAATCGTTGCACCAATTTGCATTCCCAACAAGCAATGTATGAGTGTGCCTTTTCCCCACATCCTTGCCCACATTTATTGTTTGTATTCTTGATGATTGCCATTCTGATTGGGGTGAGATGAAATCTTAGTTTTTATTTGTATTTCTCTAATTGCTAGAGATGTTGAACGTTTTTTCATATATTTGTTGATCAGTTGTATTTCGTCTTCTGTGAAGAGTCAATTCAATTCCTTAGCCCATTTATTGATTGGGTTATTTGGTTTTTTGATTCTTTATATACCCTGGAGATTAATGCTGCATCTGAGGTGCCTGTGGTAAAGATTTTCTCCCATTCTGTAGGCTCTCTCCTCACATTACTTATTGTTTTCTTTGTTAAGAAGCTTTTTTTGTTGGAATCCACCCCATTTATTGCTTCTTGATTTTACTTCTTGCACTTTAGAAATCTTGTTAGGGAAGTCAGATCCTAGGGTGACATGGCAGAGATTTGGGCCTACTTTTTCTTCTATTAGGTGCAGAATCTCTGTCTGGTGCCTATGTCTTTAATCCACTTTGAGTTGAGTTTCGTGCAGGGTGAGATATGGGGGTTTATTCATTTTGTTACACGTGGATTTCCAATTTTCCCAACACCATTTGTTGAAGAGGCTATCTTTTCTCCAGTGAATGTTTTGGTGCCTTTGTCTAACACAAGATAACTGTATTTATGTGGGTTTGTCTCTGTCTTCTATTCTGTACCATTGGTCTACATGTCTACTTTGGTGCCAATACCATGCCATTTTTGTTACTATTGCTTTGTAGTATAGTTTAAGGTCTGGTATTGTGATGCCTCCTGTTTCACTCTTCCTGCTGAGGATTGCTTTGGCTATTCTGGGTCTTTTATTATTCCAAATTAATTTCATGATTGCTTTTTCTAGTTCTATGAAGAATGTCATTGAGATTTTAATAGGAATTGCATTAAATCTATATAACCGTTTTGGTAGTATGGCCATTTTGACAACATTAATTATCCAGGAGCATGGGAGATCTTTCCATCTTCTAAGGTCTTCTTCTAGGTCTTTCTTTAGTGTTCTGTCGTTTTCTGTGTAGATGTCTTTCACCTTTCTTGTTAGATTGATTCTGAAGTATTTTATTATTTTTTGAGGCTATTGTGAATGGAGTGGATTCATCAATGATGTATAGCAATGCGTTTGATTTATGGGTGTTGATTTTATAACCTGCTACTTTGCTGAATTCATTTATGAGTTCTAGAAGTTTTCTGGTGGAATTTTTTGGATCTTCTAAATATAGAATCATGGCATCAGCAAATAGTGATAGTCTGAGTTCTTCTTTTCCTATTTATATGCTTTTAATTTCTTTCTCCTGTCTGATTGCTCTGGCTAGAGCTTCAAGGACGACGTTGAATAGAAGTGGTGAAAGAGGGCATTCCACATTTCACTCTTGCCGTATAAGTTATTCTTTCATAATTCAACTGGAAAAAATTAACATATAAAGAACACAAGGAGAATTTCATTCCTGTTACCTCAAGAACTATAAGACAGGTAGGGTGTGTTTAGACACTGACAGAGATCTGCTTGGTGTCTGCACCAAGCATGGGATCAGCTGGGCAGTCGCCTGGGCAACCATGGCATCTCTGGCCCTGCTTGGGTCAGGGAGGTGAAGGTGCAGACGGTTGGAGACACTTGGCTCTCCAAACACTGAACCCAAGGCTAAAGCCACAATTTCACATCTGAAGTAGACTGTGCTGATTGTGCTGTGAATTTCATTGTCTTCTACCCCTTTCCTTAGTGTTTAGTCTCTGAACTCCATTTTTGTTTCTATGCAGAAATTTCATTAATTTCCAAATTCCAGAAAGAATTGGGAATGCATAAGGAAGCAGAGGACTTTCTTTGTTTCTTCCCCTTCCTGGCTAATTGGAGTTCAGATTTGATGACTGGAGCTAATGCAGTCATTTTAGACCATGAGACAGAAGTCACCTGATAGAGAAAAGCAGAGTCACAAGTTAGAAGGAAGGAGCTCCTCAGGGTTGTGGAGCTACATGGCATCCTGGAGATGCCAGCCTTCAGATCGCTGCCTCTGTCTGTCTCTGCGTTTCTCATAAGTATTTTTCATTAAGCATTCGTATCATTCATTTCTACAGTGTATTAAATGCATTTTCTTATCATATTCAAGGACAATTATAATTTCTAGGAAAAAGATCATAAGACATTATTTGAGCTATGCAGAATTTGCCAATTTCTTTTCCATCTTTACCCATTTATATACTAAAATGAAAGTAGTGTTTTTAAAACTTTTGATTATTTATGCTGACAGTCAATCATCCTGCACACTGGACAAGTGACTCAAGACACCAAGATTAACTGAATTCTAAGAGTCATATGAGATCAACAACTATCATTCATACCCCTTGCTTCTAACCAGCATTTCTGAGATCGTTGATCATTATGACTGAGGGTCAAAATCAAATGTCTAATAAAATCATAGCACCACACTAACGTTTTTAGCTCTTTGAAAAACTGAATGTTGGTGATTAGTCTTTATTTTATTTTAGTTTGCTGGTACAGGGATTGAACCCATGGCGGTCTACCACTGAGCTACATTCTCAGTCCTCCTCTTTCTTTCTTTCAAATAGGGCTTCGCTATATTGCAGAGGCTAGCCTTGATTTTTGATCCTCCTGTCCTAGCCTCCCAACTCACTGGGATTACAGGCAGGAGCCCCCATGCCTGTTTTAGAGTCTATTATTTTAAAAATAATTTGAAGTTGTCTCAAAATAAAATAAAATAGCTCGGGATGTAGCTCAGTGGTAGAGCACTCTGGGTTCAATCCTCTATATAAACACAAACAAAAATTGTTCATGCATGCTGGGAAACTGACAAAGCACAAGAGCTCAAAACCAAACCCTGAGGGCTCCAGTTGCCCCCTCTGCCCTCTCTCTCTGTCACTCCAAACACATACACTGAAAAACAAATCCCCACCTTCCTGAAACAAAGATTTTTCACTGCATTTAATAAAATATATAGAAGCATTGTTATCCTTTTTAAATAGTGGCAATAATGGGGGTGGGGCTCAGTGGCAGAGTCTTGCCACTCTGTGGGAGGCCCTGGGTTCCATTCTCAGCTCCAAAAAATTTAAATAAATAAATATTTTTGGTACTGGGGTTGGAACCCAGGAGTGCTTTAGTATTGAGTTACATCTCCAGCCCTTTTTATTTTTTATTTTGAGACGGTCTCCCTAAATTGCTGAGTCTGGCTTGAACTTGGGATACTCCTGCCTCAGCCTCCTGCCTCTGCCTCAGGTCGCTGGGAACACAGGCAGGAGCCCCCAAGCCCAGCCTGGTGCATCTGTTTTTGCAGTGTGCTTTGTGCACTAGTGGGTGTGACGGCGTTGGCACTGCCTGTGCAAGGTGGGATGGGGAATGGGGAGGGGCTGACCTCGCCTGGCACCAGTTACATAGGTGTGCTCTGTTGGTGAAAATGTGCCCAGATGAACGCTCTGGATACACTTAGATTTTAGCTAGCTTTGTCACTGTGACCAAAAGACCTAAGAAAAAAACTAGGGGAGGGAAAATTTCTGTTGGCTCATAAGTCCTAGTTCATAGATGTCCACTCCCCGGCTCTGGGTCCTGGTGAGACAGGACATGAGAGCAGAAGGGTGTGGAGGAGGAAGGCAGTTCAGGACATGGCAATCAGGAAGCAGAGGAACATAATATAAACCCCAAAGGCATGTCCCCCAGTGACCCACCTCCTCCAGCCACACCTCACCTGCCTATAGTCACCACCCTATCAACCCACATGAGTGGATTAATCCACAGATTGGATACAACTCTCACAATCCAATTGCTTCACCTCTGAATGCTCGCACACGAGGTTTTGGGGGACACCTGATAATCTAAACCATACAATTTACTTTTCAATAAAAAAAGTTTTAAAATGTGGCTACCATGTGTGGTGGCGCACACCTGTAATCCCAGTGGCTTGGGAGGCTGAGGCAGGAGGATCACCAGTTCACACCAGCCTCAACAACTCAGTGAGACCCTGTCTGTGAATAAAAGATAAAAAGGGCCGGGAATGTCGCTCAGTGGTTAGTGCGCCTGGGTTCAATCCCGGCACTAAATAAATAAATAAATAAATAAATAGCGGCCTGGACGTCAGCAGCCGGCCAGGTCATCCCAACCACTGTGTGACATTCCTCTCTGTCGCCCCATAAATGACGTAACCCCATTTCTTCCAATCGCCTCGCCTTTTGTAAAAACCTCGTGACGCACATCTCGGGCGCGCCTCTGCGGCACAGCCGGTGCATGTCGGGCCTTGACCGCTGGAGCCCCATGTCCCGCCCCGGAAGGAGATGCCAATTTTAGGGCCTAAGTGACCCGTCCTTCCGGCCCCAGCGCTGGGCTCCCTGGACATTTCGGGGGGTCACCAGGTGGAATCTGGATGATGGACTGCGCGACGGCCGGCCTCACGCTCATCGTGGCCGTGAGATGGGCAAGGGGCGGGCACGGTGGCACGCGTGACCGCGGGGAGCCGGGGCAGCGGTTCGCGAGTTCAAAGCCAGCCTCGGCGACTCCGCGAGACCCTGTCGCTAATAAAACAGCCAGGGCTGGGGTGTGGCCTGGACCTTAGGTGGCCCTGGGGCCAGCTGCCGGGGTGCGGGGTGGACGCTGTGGCCTCGCGATGAAGGCCCGCACCCCGCGCTGCCCGGGTCCTCATCGGGCCGGGCTGTGACGCAAGGGGACAGCGCCCGGCGGCACCAAGGTGGCCGCGCGGTCCGTCCGGTCCACAAAAATAAAAACCAGGCCGCGGCCTGCGGGTGGGGGGGGCGCGCGGGTCAGCCTCTCGGGCATCGGGCCCTGGCCTCGAAGGCGGGGCAGAGCGGCGCCCGCTGCCCCTCATTTAAGGCTTCTCATTAGTAGCGGGGCGGCAGCGCCACCGTGCCGCGGGAGGCCGCCTAGCGCCAGGGAGGCCGCCTAGCGCCAGGGAGGCCGCCTAGCGCCAGGGAGGCCGCCTAGCGCCAGGGAGGCCGCCTAGCGCCAGGGAGGCCGCCTCTGCGGGCTCTTTCTTCACTTCTCCCTGTGACTTCCCTTCTGAGGTCTCGGCCAGGGTCTTCCCTTGGCATATGCAAGCTCTTTGTGAACCCAGGAAATAAATCCCGACCCCACCAGCCTTGTAGGAAATGTGTCCCCCCTTTGTTGGTTGTCATTTGACTCTGTGGGTTTTTTCCCCTCCTGGGGACAAAGTGTTTAAATAGTCAGGTTGATTAATCTTTTCCTTTATGACTTCTGGGCTTTGTGTCCTTAAAGACGCCTTCTGCTTCCAAATGTATAAGTAAACTGACTCCTGTTCTTATCTAAATGTTACCTGATTTCATTTTTTTACATTGATATCTTCAAATCATCTGGAAGGTATTTGGGGACACAAAAGAGAAGGAAGAGAATTCAACTTTATTCCTTTTTTCCAAAGAGCCAGCCAGTTTTCTAAGCACCAGCTAAGTTTAGGAAATTCTTTTCTCTCCTACTGATTTAAAATAAATAGCACTGTGGTCAGAGTCTAGGGTTTCAGAGGCATGAAGCTCTCTTTCTGTATTCATTACTCTTCCTACCATTTTTCTGGCTTAATTCTTTACCATCAATCAATTCTATTTATTTCAGAGTCTCATAATCCATTTTGATTATCTACCTATAGACTAATCCACCCACATGAATTTTTAGTGTCCTGAATGTTCTGTCCCATTCTCAGAAAGCAAGGGATTTTAAGTAGTTTACTTTTCAACACCAGGGTTGGACTGGTGAACGCAGCCTGGCCACCTGCAAGTCAGGGATGAGAAATGTGGCTCACCTTGAGTCTTGAACATCCTCTAGTACCTGAGCACCTTCCCCTTGTCGGTGTCAAGGTCACAGTTGGCAGGAAAACTATTCCAAAAGCTCCTTTGGGCCAGAGACCTGTCACACCTTCACCTGGACCAAGCAGCCCCCACAGACCAGCCCCCATCATTAAATTGAGTGTAACATGCACACCCTTGATGTGGATTGGATGTACAATTTCAAGTGCACACCCACCCTCGGCTACAATGGTCTTAATTCACAGCGCCTGGATCATGAGTCTAGACAGCACAGAGAGGGCGAGAGCAGGTTTGTCTCAAGAGCTATGATCACACACAGTCGGTGTTAAGCTGGCCCATCTCTGACTGTGATTTTAGTATACAACATTGCTATGGTTTCGGCTGTATATTAAGAGCACAGAACTGTAAAGATGAGGGCTGGGGTGTAGCTCTGTGGTGGGACACTGGCCTAGTATGCGTGAGGCCCTGGTTCCAATCCCAACACCAACAACTACAACAACAAAAAAAATGCAAAGATGAAATTAAAATAACCCCTTGTTACTTTTCACAAAACATTTTTATCAAAATGTAATTTACATGCAGTGAAATGCATGCCAAATATGAACATCTGAAGTCCACATTACTCGAGGAGCACAAGTTTGAGATCAGCCTCAGCAACTTAGAGGGACCCTGTCTCAAAAAACAAAAAGGGCTGGGGGTGTGGCTCAGTGGTTAAGTACCCCTGGGTTCAATCCCTGGTACCAAAAAAAAAAGAAAAGAAAAGTCTCCCCTGAGACTTGACTAGAGCCATGAGGAAACACTTTCCCGGGGAGCTGCAAGGATCTAACAGCTTTACCCTCCTGGCAGCGACCTGTCGGCCCATGGAGAGGCTGGCCTAACAACAAACCCACAGAGAGCAGGGAGCTCAGAGTGACAGGGAGCCAGGATCCTGAGGATGTTCTTTGAGCAGCCGGATAGAAACATACCTGAAGTTATCGCCCCTGACATTTCAGTAAGAAGCCAGTAAATCCCTTTTTTCTCTCTCTAGCTAGTTTGAATGCTGTTTCGGACACTTTATACAGCAAGATCGCAAACATGGGAGCTCTGAGACATGTCAGATAAAAGATCAAGGTTTAGAAAAATGTGTATAGTGTTCTGTTTGTGTGAATAAAGGGAGGATAAGGAATATATCTGCATGTAAATGTTGGACTGTTCCAAGTACACAGAGCATCTCTGCAAGAAACTATTAACACTTCCTCTGAGGAGGAAGAGAGGAGGTCAAGGGTGGAAAGGTGATTTAGTTTTCATTCAATCCTGGGGGGGGTGGTTACTGGGGATTGAACCTAGAGGCACTTCACCCACTGAGCTACCTCCCTAACTAGCCCTTTTTATTTTAAGACAGGTTCTCATCAAGTTGCTTAGGGCCTTGCTAAGTTGCTGAAGCTAGTCTTGAACTTGTGGTCCTCCTGCTTCAGCCTCCTGAGCCGCTGGGATTAAGGGTATGTTTGTACCACATTTCAAGTATGACATGAGCTAATTCAGGATGTTGTCAGGTGGTGGGGGGAGGAGAAAAAAGAAAAATGTTAGTTATGGACTTATGTAACCAAAAACAGTTTTGGCTTTCAGGTATGGCTAGATCCAGGCTCATATATAAATGTCAACAATATTCTCTTTCTTCTAGCCCTGCTTTCCACTGATTGTCTAGGGTTCAGAAAATCTACTCTCTGTAACCTCACCTCCTACTATTTCCCTTCCACTCCATGTATACTGGTCTCCCACACAGCAGAAATAACCTGCCTCAGAGCCTGTGTACTTCCTGTCCAGGTGGTGGCAAGAAGGCCTCCATCAGCATCAGATTTACATTTTACTGGTGGGGGACTCCAGTAAAAAAAGAGACTTTATGGGCTGGGCTGAAACTCAGTGGCAAAGCACTTGCCTAGCATGCATGAGGCACTGGATTCAATCCTCGGCACCACATAAAAATTAAAAAATAAGATAAAGGATGTTGTCTATCTACAACATAAAAAAAAAAAATAAGACTTTATTCCTCAGAGTGTCAAACTCCTAGGAGTCTTATTGGCTCAATCACTGTAGCCTGGTGCTCTGATTGGCTGGCCTTGAGTCATGTGACATCTCTGGGCCTAGCAGTGGTGATGGTGTAGATGCAGGTCTGTTCTTCAGAAGAAAACAGGTAAATCATCCAAAGAAGAGGGGATGAATACAGGGAGGAGAGAACCAATAGGCTTCTACAACATTGCTGTTAATTTTTCTAAACACACAGAGATGTATTACTTTTTTTCTTTAAAAAGCAATGAACTCAGCCAGGCGTGGTGGTGCATGCTGAGGCAGGAGGATTGAGAGTTCAAGGCCAATCAGACATCACTTTCCTATGTTCATGTATAAATACACGACCAGTGAAATCCACATCATGCACCACCCGAAGAATGGGATCCTAATTAAAATAAGTTACACTCTATGCATGTATAACATGTCAAAATACACTCTACCATCAGGTATATCTAAAAAGAGCAAATTGAAAAATTGAAAATAAACAAAAGTTCAAGGGTCAATGTGTGAGGCCCGGTTTGATCCTCAGCACCAAAAAAAAAAAAAAAAAAAAATCAGAATTAAACAAAAAAGCTTATACCTTGTATGACTTAATTTATACAAAGCTCTGGGTCAGGTAAAACAGCTTTGGTTGAGAAACCTGGTCTCCGTGGATGGGAGTGGCTCAGTGTTTGGGTCTGCCAGGGCCTCACCTGTGCTCGGCAAATGCTCTACCGCTGAGCCCCAGCCCAGCCCCATCCACAGTCCTTTTTATTTTCTAAGACTGGGATGTGCTAAGGAGCTAAGGATCTTGCAAGTTGCCCAGCTGGCCTGGAACTTGCCTCTGCCTACCAAATTGCTGGAATTATAGGTCTGTGCCACCTTTGGTGGCAACACATTGGTGACTTTATCAGAGGAAGAGAGACCTGAGCCAACAGCTTGCACTGCCATGGTGACGCAGCATGAGGCCCTCACCAGATGCCAGGCTGACACCGAGCAGATGCCAGCACCATGCTGTCGGGCTTTCCAGCTCCAGTACTGTGCTCTAAATAAACCTCTAGTGTTTATAGATACATGAACACTCCCACTTCCAGGTATTCTGTTACAGCAACAGAAGTCAACCAAGACACCTGTGAAAACCTGAGTCAGATCTGCTCAGCACCTGCCCAGGGCTCCCATTTCACTCAGTTTAAAACCCAGATCCAGCCAGGTACCATGACACCAGCCTGTAAGGCCAGCAGCTTGGGAGGTGAGGCGGGAGGATTGCGAGTTCAAAGCCAGCCTCAGCAGCAGCAAGGCACTAAGCAACTCAGTGAGACCCTGTCTCTAAATAAAATACAAAAAAGGGAGGTGGCACAGTGGTCAAGTGCGCCTGAGCTCAATCTCTAGTACCCTCTCCCGACCCCCCAGAACAACAAATCCACCCTCCCTGGAGCCCACTGGCCCTAGGCCATCCGCCTCCCAAATCTGCTCTGGTCACACCAGCCTCCTTGCCTCCCCTTATGCTGACTGTTCCCTCTGCCTGGATGCCACGCCCCAGTGTTCACCTCACTCCCTGTCCCTCCGCAGGTCTGTTGGAGCACTGCTTCAGCGAAGAACCCCCACCCACTGCTACGCACAACAGCCGGCTTGGCCAGGCCTGGCTGCCTGGAGCCCCAGCTCTTCAGAAGCTGAGGCCGGAGGGGTACCCGAGCCCAGGAGTTTGAGGACAGCCTGGGCAACACAGCGAAGGTCAGCGCACCCTAGAGCCCCCACCGCCTGTGGTCACCGGTGCTCAGCATGCTGTCTGCCCTACAGGGTGACCATCAGAAGCCTGTGACTCCTGGAGGCGTGGAGCTGTTTGGTCCCTGGCTGTCATACAGTGATAACTTAGTAATCCTGGCTGGAGGACAGCATAAACCCACAAGGAAACGACACCTCCTGATGCTCCTAGTGTCCATGGCGCTCCTCTGTTCTGCTCCCACTCCCCACAGTACCCTGGCTGGGCTTTGCCCCCAGGCACACCCTGACCAGTCACTGCCCCAAGGGCTTCCTGGGGGCCCACAACCCCTTACCCAGGTCCTGTCCTAGATCTCCCGTGCTTCTGGCCATGGTGGCCTTCCAGACTTCCCTAGTGGCCTGAATATAACCAGGCGTGACTTTCCCATCATGCAGTGGGAAAGACCCGAGAATAAGCATTTCCCCAGATCCTCACCAGCCCAAGGCCACAGCTCCCATCCTCCAACTCCACCGGCTTTTGAGGTCTCTTGTCTTTTCCCTCTTGATTATCCTCTGTTCATCCTCCACAAAACTCCAGCTTTGACCCGAGGATACTCCCTTCCCCAAGTCTTGATTATTCCACCTACAGCTCTCTGATCCACGCATGAACCAGAATTCTCAGGGGAAAGATGCTGATTCCCAGAGATGCCAAGAGATCCTGATTCTGCAGGTAGGCCCATAAAAATCGGGCATTTTAAACAGAGGTTCCAGGTAACTGATCCATGGCCACCCTGGTTCAGGAGTCCCTGCGGGGGAAAGGCTTGGACAGAAGAAAACTAACTTTTAATTCAAAGACCTCAGCCTCTGCCTAAGGCGATGAAAAGGGAGGAAGTGTCTTCATTTCCCAGCAGATTTTACAATAAACTAGCACTTCCAGATACTCCACACACCCCTGGCCTATCATAAAACTTCTAGAAACCCTAAGATCTATGGGAGATCTTATCACTGGGGAAGGACCACAGCAAAGAACAAATGGCTTCTCCTCTCGTGAGGAATCACCAATCCTGTGGCCACAACCCAGGTCTGCTGGCTGCAGCAGTAGCTGGGGTGGAGGAGGGGCCTAGATAGCAGGGGTTCCTTACCGGATCAAGCAGTCCCCGTGCTCTCCACCTACAGAGAAGACTGAAGAGATACTTAATTTGCTGAACTTTATTATGCATATACATTTACATTTACTAATCCTGGTGTCAACCTTTTGTACAACAAGCCCCCACAGACCCGACTTGAATTTCAGGAGCTGGGCGGCTGCAGCCTCGTCACCCTGCAGAGTCCAGTCCTCCCTGTGTTAATTGCACACAACCAAGACAAACCTTGAGGCGGAGAGGAGGAGCTGCAGGTGGGAACCATTCTTGTTTTCTATATCTTCAGTGAGACTCATGCAGGATTTTGAAATGAATCGTCACAAGAAATTTGTCTTAAAGTTGAATCACTAACAACATCTAACAATTGTTCACATTTTTACCACAAAAACCAAAGTCAGAAAAAGAGACCACGAACACTAGCAAGGGCTAAAACTCCAGGACAGGATATCATTGTGTGCGGGTTAACATGGTAACTTGCTATCACACAGCTGAAGGGTCACAGCAGAACGAGAGCATGTGAAATACAACAGGAAACGAGCTTTCAGACATGCGCAGGACCGAGCCACCCACTGCCAAGCTTCCTCATCAGGTCACATTTACAAGCAATTTAATTATATGCAAAGAGAAGGCAGAAACAACTAGTTACAGACCTGTACGGAAACAAGTTAACCTATAAACACAAGGTAATATTCTGATAGTTCTCGATGTGACTGGTCTGGGTTACAACATACTTGAGTACTTGTTTTTCACACATTAAAACACATGAGAAAGTAGATTTGGATTACATCTTTGTGGATGCCTTGGGATTCCCCAAAATACAGTGTGGAAACTGTATTTTGGGGCCCTTGCCCTCTCTCTTACACATGCGCGCGCGCGCACACACGCGCACACACACACACACACACACACACACACTATGGGACGGAGTGATCTGTTCTGATTTAGTGTGTCTAATCCAGATAGCAGAAACAGCTAATTTTTAAAAGACTTTTTCCTTTCCCCCTCTTCTATGTGAGAAGTGGCTTCTGCCTCAAAGTTGGTGAGTCTGGTGGCTCTGGATGGAACTAGAGCCAAGAACCCAGGAATGACCCAGTCTTCCCTACTAACCACCCCTCTTCTCCACATGCTTCCTGAAAGGGCTTCAGCCCAAAACGGGAGTCAAAGTGCCAATTTTATAAACAGACTCTCAAACTTGACTACTTCAATGGTGAGGCAGACAGTCACTCTTCCCAGAACTCTTGGGACTGAACCACCTTCCAGTTTGACAACTGGAGGATGGAAGCTCAAGACTGAAGGAGCAAGAGGGCCAGGTGTGCATCTAAGACCTGGGCTTAACTCACCCGCCGGTCACGGCCCAGGGAGGCTGGAGGGGAGAAAGCAGGTGCCCTGCTCTTCAAACACCAAGCCTGAAGGTTAGCTGACCATCCAGAAGAGCAAGCAGGGGGTGGGGAGAAAGGCTGGACATGAATGAGCGAAACAGTAACCTGCCCATGCATAAAAGGTAATGAACATTCTAGAATTTTCCCAAGCCACTTACCAACCCTCCTCCCTCTGAGGGTGAGTGAAGGAGGAGGTGAAAAGCTGGCCTGGTAGAGAAAAAGGCAGAGAGACACACCTCCCTCCCCCAATTCCTCCCCAGACCTAAGATCTCATATCATTTACCTCCGAGAGCCAGACCTTTAGAAACTGGGTCCCTCAAAGAGCCAAGTCTCGTTTCACTCAATGACAAGAGAAAGCTTTGCTTCTAACTTGGAACTTCTTCCTTGGTCTTCTTTCACCTCCATGGGCATGGGTGGTCTCCCTTCAAAGCTTTCTGGAATCTGTGGGTAAAGTATAAGAGCTCAAGAGAAGAAGCAGGGAGAAGCACCAGAGGACATTGCCACCTCCCAGGCCCTTCTGAGTCATCAAACACTCCATCCCCCAATCAGGTCTCCAGAAAGCTCATCCTTAAAGCCATGTACCCACCAACAGTACAGTCCCCAACCTGAATTCCTGTGGAGAGAGATGGGTTATGTGCAGTGGTTCAGTGACCACAGAGCCACTCATCTATGACATGTGGGTTTGCTGTGGGGGGAGGGGGCAATCGAAGCCATCAGGGGCTCCTAGGAGGGAGCCTGGGCTCTCACCCTCTAAAACCTCACCCGGGGTCATCCACCTCCTCCACTGCACTGGGATCCTCGGTCACCTGCCTGGCTACCACCCCTGTAGGCCCCTCTGCCCCTCCTCCCACTTCATCCAAATCACATGCTGTCATCCTCACCATTGGAGGCACGAGGAGAGCCTCCTGGCTTGGCCTTCAGACCCCTGGATGTTGAGGCTTGTGACCTGGAGTGCTGGAGGCCTCTAGGGCCCTTCTGGGCTGACACATCCCTTCTCAAGCCAGAGGCCTTCTTTGCAATCATGGGCTTCTTCTTTGCCTCTTCGGAATCAACCAGGACGTAGGAGACTGGGCCCAAGCTCACCTTCTTCTTCTTCCTCATGGGGGCAGGGCTCTTTCCCGAGGCCCAGCCCATGGCCTTCTTCTTTGGGGGCCTTTGCTGACCACCATCTTGAGCTAACTGAGCAGTGCTTGCAGGGCTCTCCACTTCCCTAGGGGCCTCCTGAGGCGGATCCCGGGGCACCTTCCAGGCACTTTTTGCCAAAGGCTTCTTCAGAGCTGATTCCTCCTGCTTCACACATGGTTTTTTGTTGCTCTTGATAGACTCGGAGATCTCCATGCTTTCGCCCTCCCCGGCATTGCGATTCTCCAAGTAGGCGGAGCTACTGGGACGGTTGCCTTTGGGCTTTTTCCAGGGCACTGGTTCCTGCTTGAGATTTTTTTTCTGCTTCTTTCTCCTGGAGCGAGCCTTAGCTCCAGCCCTGCGAACTAGAGGTTTGGGAGGGTCACCCTGGTTTTCCATGGCATTCCAGTGGCGGGGGTTCTCCATCTTCAAGGTGGAACCCAGTTCTGCAGCCAGCCCTGGCTCCTTCTTGACCTTCTTTGCTGCTGATACCCAGGCTGCTGCCTCCACTGCCTCGGCGGCCTCCTGAGCCCTAGCTTCCTCCCGACTGCGGATCTCCGCATCCATGTAAAAGATGACTTGCACCACAGCCCCCAGGAGCACCCCCAAAGTCTCTGCCCAGTTCTCCGAAGGCTGGTTCTGGGACGGCGAGGGGTGGTTAAGCTGCAGCAAGCGGACCACATCCTCCCATGTGCGCCCCTCGGCATCCAGGAATTCATTCAGGTTTTTCAAAAACTCGGCATCCTGGGTGGGGTCCCTACAGGCCACTCTCCAGGCACCGCCTCTTCCTGGGAACTCTCGCGGTATGGCGCTCAGATTCACACCCTCGCCAACCTCGATAAGGGCAGCCTTCACGTTCTCCTCCCTCAAGAAAATCTTGTTAAGCACGCGGTAGGAGCCCAGGGGCGAGAGGACCCCATTCAAGGTCTCCTCGATTTCTGCCTGGCCACAGTCCTCTGGGATGCCCGTGACCAACAGGGACCTGTGGATGTCCACTTCCATCCCGCGACACCAATCCTCCAGAAGGTTCATTGCCATAGCCTCCGACATCTGGCCGCTCTAACCCCACGCAAAGGGCGTACTAAGTGGATGTGAGCTGCAGGGGTCCCCAGATAGGAATCCTGCAAGGTCACAAGAGGGTGAGGTCAGATTCCCTGGAAGCTAGCCCGGCTCCCAGATCTCAGCGGCCCACTGCGGCTGGCCCGCAGGCGGCCTCGCGCTTTCCCAGACCCTCCTCCCCAGCCGGGGCCCGAGTGCTCACCCGAATCCCGGGATCTGGCGCAACGGTCCTCGGGGCTGGCGCTCTGCCAGCGGCAGGGATGGACCGGGCAGCCCCGCCTCCGACGGTCCAGCCAGGCCAAGGAGAGGCCCCGGGGTGCAGCCACTCCTCAGGAGCCGGCTCGGGCCGCCCTGGCGCTGCGGCTCGAGCCAGACAGGGCAGGAAGCCGCAGTCCGCCCCCGCTCCGGCGCGCCGAGTCACGCGAAGCGGGGCCCGATCAGCAGCAACTGCGCGGACCGAGCCTGGCGTCGCAGCGCGCGCCTGCGCACTTGCTCCCGCACCGCGGCGCCGGGTCTCGGCCCCCGCAGCTCCGGCGGTCTCCATGGCAACCGGAGGCTGGTTGCTAAGAGGCGGCGTGGCCTGCGGCGGGCTCTGCAGTAGGGTCTAGCGAGCTGATGCAAAAACTGCGACAGTTCAGGGGTGCACCCCGCGAGGGGTCTAGAGAGCCCCCCATCGCCCCTGCAGACCCGCTCTTTCCACCCTTGACTGCCTGGTGTGGGTCTCGGGATGGGGTGGGAGCCCTGACCTCCATGGCTGTGCACAAAACAACTCTCACCCCCTGCCCTCCTGGGGGACACCAGAAATCAGAGAGCAAAAGGAAAGAGAAGCTTTAATGTCTTCTGCCCCCGCCCCTAGTTCCGCTCATAGCTCCGTTTGGAGCAGCATTCTCTCCCTGGGTTCCTGGGTTCTGGAACCTTCCAGAAATTTCTAGAAATCTCTCCCTCCCTTTTAGGCAATTCCTTTAGGTCTGAGATGAGTGCATCACCTGACCTTGTTGATTCTTCAACTTGCTGCCTTAACACCTTTGTTTATAGTGAGAAACTGATGTGACTCCATTTTTAAAAATAAATATCAGCAGCTTCTACCTCAAGGCCTGTCCTAGGGAAAGGGGCATGACCCTTGTCCTTGAAAAAATCCACAGAGCACTCCTAAGCACATACCCACCCTGCTGAGATGTTTGTAAATAACAGGAGAGGTCTGAGGCACCAGGTGTTCCTGACTCAGTTAGGCTAGGTGAGGACCCATAGCAACCCCCCTAGCAACCTCCAATCAGCATGAGGCAGGGAAAATACCTGGGATGCCAGATGACCCCCCAGTAGTTTATGGTGGTTGATAACATGTTGGGAAACCATGTAGTTTAGCATGTATACCCCTCGTGGCCTAAACCAATCAGTTCAAACGAATCCCCCTTTGTACTAACCAAGCACTCCTACTCAACTTGTTCCTGCCATTGAATGTGCTTATCAATGTTAAGAGTTGTTGTTTGATTTTCCCGCAGTATGGAATGATTTGCTGTGTGATGTTGTGATGCATAGAGTATCCCCCCAAAACCTATAAAATCTCACTGAACAAAGGACCTGGACTCACTCCCTGGGACCGCTGTGTCGGAAAGGTTATGAGTCCAGGCTCGAGCTTGCAATAAAGACTCTTGTGTGATTGCATCGGATTTGGCTCCTAGAGGTCTATTGGGGTCCCAGGAATCTGGCATTACAATAGTTGATTAAGTGCTCCTCAGTGGCTCAGTGTTGAGTTGCCTTCTGTTTCCTGCCAGGACATCCTAGCAATGCTGCTTCCTAGCAGTTTCATTTCAGATAAGTGATTTGCGTTTTCCAAGTGCCTTCCAGTTTCTCCAGGAAACTTTTCGCATCTAGCAGTTTTGAAGATTTAGGGATCTCACATATGAAAGATGCAATGAAAAACCAATTCTGACCTTGATATTCCATGGAAAAATCTCTTCTTCGCATTCAGTTTTACAATTAACCTTTGTGAGGCCAAATGGCTGAATGCCTAATTCATTGTCATCTCTGGCATCCCTAAACATGGGTGGGATCAATTTTGTGTGATTGTCCTCTCACCTTGAACCAATAGAGTAATGAGGAAGGGAAGTTTTGTGACTTCTCAGGCTAGGTTCACCCTCTTTCCTATTGGTTGGAACTCTCTCATTCTTGGATGCCTGAGTTTTCAAGTAAGAAATTCAGCTGTCTTCTGGCTGCCTTGCTGTGAGGAAGCACAACCATAGTGAGAAGCCACCAGTGCTCCAGTTAACAGTGCCCAGCTAAGCACAGCTCCATAGCATCTCAGCCCAAAGCACCAGATATATGAGCGAAGAAATTTCCAAATGATTCTAGCTCCCATTAGAGTCACTCAACCATTTGCATTTGAGTCCCAGACATTGGCTACCAGAAACAAAACATTACTGTTGTACCCTGTGTGAATTCTCAACACATTCAACCCAGGAGTATAACAAAATAATTGTTCTGTGCCACTACATTTTGGGGTGACTTACTATGTATCAATAGATTGCTGGGAAGTAGGGCAAAGGTCAAATGCAGCAAGCATTGATGCTGTTTGGCAAAGCATTACTGCAACAGAAAACAAGAGCAGAAGTCTTAAGTCAGCTTCTGAAGAGAGTCTCGAGCAACTTTTTAAAAGCAGTGTGCAGCTTCAGTCTGTGGAATTATTCCAGTGAAACAACATCCTCATCAAGCTTAAGGATTGAAGAAGAGGTAAAATTTCCACTCTCGTCAATTACTTTTAGGGAAGAAGAAAGCTTGATAGTTCACCATTAGCAGAGCTGATTAAAAAAAAAAAAAGTCTTGTTCTTTCTGTGGCCATTTAGCCTCATTCATAGGAAGTAGAGTAGCCAGAGGGAGCACCTTGTAGCTGATGATACTATGAAGTTATAATAACCAACATTTTAAAGTTTGTTTACTAAATTTTTTAAAGTAAAATTATGATCCAAATTTAAAATTTCTTCCAGGCACTGTGGTGCATGCCTGTAATCTCAGCAGCTCAGGAGGCTGAGGCAGGAGGATTGCAAGTTCAAAGCCAGCCTTAGCAACCTAGCAAGGCCCTAAGCCTCTCAAATTTAAAAAATAAAAAGGGGTAAGGATGTGGATCAGCAGTTAAGTGCCCCTTGGTTCAATCCCTGGCCCCGTCACC